GGGAAAGGCAGGGAAATCCCCCGGTGAGCGCCCTGTTCCCGAGCTGTAAATGCTCGAGAACTTCCCCGTCACAGCGTCTGCCGCTCGCTGGTGGGGGGTTCGGTTTGGGCCCCCCCAGAACGCAGCTACACTGGGGCTGTAGGCGGTGAAATCAGGGCTGGGGGGGCTGCTCCAGCTGAGAACCCGAGCAAAACCCCTGGCTCGGCGCGGGGGGCTCTGCTGTGGGACCCCATCCCTGCTCCCACCCAGCGCGAGGGCTCTCACGCATCTTCAGGGGGTAGGCAATGCATCCCCAAAGCCACCCCAGAGCTTCTGCTCAGGGGAGTGCTGAGGAGGACCCTCTGACTCCAGCCAGGACACTAAAACACTCAGTAAACCACCACCTGCAGTAGGGCAAGGACAGCCAGCAGCGGAGGAGGTCAGCGCTGGACTTCGAGCGACGCTTTGCCGTAAGCCTTGGACCGGTGGGAAGGGGACTTGGCCTCAGCAGAGCCAGGCGGGAGGGCATTTACCGGTGCCTGCTCGCCCTACCCCTGCTTAAATACGTCAGGCTCGTGCACGCTGTCCTGCGGCCCCGTCTCGCCGGATTCCCTCCGAAGGCGAGAAAATCCAAGGGCACCGCCGCAGAGCGCTTCTCGGGGTAGGAAGGCAACGCTGGAGAGCTCGCCGTCCCCCCGCTCCGGCTACCTGCCCTGGTGCCCCTGCTCCCCAGGCACAGCGGGGAGGAGGAAAAGCACGGAATTTACCTACTCCCGGGTGTAAAAGGAGGAGAGCTCCTTGCCGAGCCCAGCGTGCTCCGTACCTGACAACTCGCCTGTTCATTTTCTCCCAGAGACTCTCTCCTACGTGGAACGGTGCCACAGGGCAGAGAAGACGGGAAAAGCTGCAACCGGTTCCAAACAGGTGCCTGAGAAAGAAGTTTAGCTTTTTTTTTCTTGTTTTTAAATTTTTCAGCCAATGGAAGAGATGAAAACACGCCTGGATACCAATCACATCCGAAGGCACAGAGCACGCGGCTGGGAAATCCGCTGGTTTCTGTACCGCAGCCCCGTGAACGTCACGGTTTGCCACCTTCATCTGCGAAAAGGGCACGAGCGCGTGCCACGATCTGCTGCCGCTGCCCGTCACACGAACCCCGCCGGTTCCGGGGCCACAAACTCCTCGTGGCCCCTCCTGCCAGCACAGCCCGCGGCTCCGGGGC